GCGTGGAGCCATGGTATGATAAGATGAGAGAGGTGTGCAAAGTTGGTGGGGTGCGCCGCTCGCTTGTACGCGCCGCTCGCTTGTAAAACACGTTATCTCTTCTTATTCTTTCTTTTGTTCGACACCCAACTGTTACCTTCATCATCTCAGAAAGATTCTACTTTCGTTTTAACTTTCTTTTTCAAGAACGAGATCTGCTGTCATGTATTGCAAAGCACAATTCCTTGCAGTGCTTCCGGCGCTTCAGCTCGCCACGGCAAATCCGATTGCCTTCCCTCAAGGAGGAAGCACTTCCTGCCCCTCTGAAGCTTTGAACGAGGCAACTTGGAATAACCTGGATCTTGATGGTTTTCTCAAGGATGCCGCTCAAAATCTCACTACAAACCATGTCCAGGGGTTTGCTTCCTCGCTGGGAGCCCCCAACTTCTTTTGGTGAGTACTGAATATGTTTACTAAGATGCTATGCACGAGGACAATACGCTTACAATCGTTCTTTTAGTGGACTTGACCAATTTTGCAACGCCGGCCAACCTTGTCTTCCAGTCCCTCTTCCCGCATGGTAAGCGTACCCATGATCTATATTGAATATATCACTACAATATAGTTATGCTTGCGAATGTCCAACTAACTAAGCAATGCAGGTATGCCCTGGTCGCAATCCAGAACTATAACAGCTATATGAACTCGCTCAATACTGCCATATCATTCGCCGCCTCCATTATGTCCTTGGAGATACCTGCCGTTGTCGCTGACTTCTGGCCCGAACCTACAGACGATGTTACCCCTTTCCAGAACATGATTTCTCTGGTCACCTCTGCTCTAAGCGCCGTTCCATTCACTGGCTCCCTGGCCACAGTAAATACTGTTTCTGGGGCGGTTGTCAATTTCTTGACCAATCAAATGAAGGCCCCGGAGGAACCAGATCTCTTTGTCAAATGGAGCGATATTGGCGTGAGCATCTCTACCGCCGTCAAAGACTACCAATCTACCGTAGCGACTTCTCTCCGGACTACACTTGACTCTGAGATTGATAACCCAACGACGGGTATTAATTCCATCTTGGCTGGCGGTGGGTTCCTAGGCGTTGCCCAAAACTTCACAGAAACAGATATGCAGAAAAAGGTTGCAGATAGTATGAAGCTTCGCTCTATCGCTCTCTTACTGCAAGGACAAAAGGCCTACATCTACAGAGCCACCATTCCCGCTGACACCTGCAGGGACGATCAGCCCTATGACCTATGCACTTCGAATACTGATGGCCCAAACTCCTTCCAACTACGAATAGGCGACGATACTGATTTTAACATCCCTAATTTGATGATAACAAAGTATGGGATCTCCAAAGAAACATTCTTGAAAGGCCCTTCGGATTGCTTCGACGAACACGGTGTGCAGCTTTTCACCCCAGAGATCCTGCCGATTGACGCTACCGGCCAGTGTATCTTCAACCTTGCGGTGTGCACTTTTGATCCTCAGACTTTTCCAGGACGCACTGTCCAAGAAAACTGCAGACTACAAGGAATTGATGTATAAACAATTGTCTATGTTTAATGTTGCGCTGCATTCTGCGCTTCCACTGCTGCCCACTTTGGCAGTTATCCTGTACTTAGCTCAGATGCTCGAAGTTTCACTTCTATTTTGAATATATTATGAATTCTTTTCGTCACCTGCCTTTTTTGGCTGCTATTTCAGTTTAGCAAGCGCAATGAGCTACATACACATTGAAACCACGACCGAACACGAGGCTTTACAACAAGGCATAATAGATGTTGTCACAAAATGCTTTATGAAAGAGATAATCAGAATTCTTATTGAGGTACGAAAGGCCGCCGAATGATGAATAGGTGCGAGTTGCGTGATAACTCAACCGTATCGAGCTAATTGGATAAATATCCTTTTCTCGTACATTTTCAACCCAATCGCCCAACACAGGGACGGGCTTTTTTGATATGGGATACGATAAAGTGAATTTGGGTGGACTAGGAACAGGGTCTCACACTGAAGACGCATATGCGGCCGATGTCATACAAGAATGGCAAATACGGCGTTGTCGCATAACTAATGTTTGCATAACAGATTCTTTCGAAGACTATTCCTGGCGTCTCAGTAGCAAGGCCTCATACCTGAATCAATCGTAAATGTATATCGTGCTCCACTCGCGTCAGTCATGTCGCTTACATGCCTCCATTGCACAGGTAGGAAACCGCAGTCTGTATCAGCTGCGTGAGCGTGGCAGTTTGCACTGATTGCAGCGCTGCACCTGCTGACTACCGGCATGCGAAACAGCCGAGCGGCAGCCTCCTGTGCCTTTTCCCGATTAATTGGCATCTCATATTTGAACGTGAAACCAACGACAACAAAATATACAACAAGTACGAATCCGGTTGCTAACGCTAGAAAGGTTCCCAAGCTGGAGAAGCCAATGCAGGAAACATCCAAACCCGGGGCTTGGATGAATCGCTGTGGCTCGTATCTAGGCAGATAGGCGACTGGTTGTACTACGAACACGCTTTGATATATGAAGAAGTGCAACAGGCCAGATAGTACCATGAGCGTAACGGAACATCTATACGGAAGCGAGAGAAAGAAGGTAGAGCCCTGAATTCCTTTTAGGGCCGAGACTCTTAGTGCTTTGCGCCGGAAGTTGTAGTAGGCGTTCCATTCTGCCGCGACAACCATAACGGTCAGCAAATTATTGCAGAGAAGGTAAAGCGCGCTAACGATAGCCTGGAACATGTTTACGAAGAGCACTGAGAAGAAAAAGCCCTTGTGTGGGCCAAGCGCGTCGGTGACACCTGTAAGTGCTGTAGCAAACTGTTGCGGTACTCCTAGGCCGTAGCTTCCAAGTGACGCTATGCCAGTACGGTCCCGGTTGTGATTACATGTCTGAAAGTGTTATTAGTATGCCCGTTAACGACAGGATGGGATAAATCTTACGATGACATACATAGTCAGTACCCAACGCCCCCAACTTGCTGCATGAAACCAGCGGATCGAAGAAAGCTGACGTCTCGGTCTGTGAAACGCGTAGACCAGCGCATTTCAGTGACTGAATTGATCATCGGAAGCCATTTGCTGAGATGATCGATATGACTAAATCTTTAGCCATCTGTCGTTGCTGCTGCATCCTCTTGCTGATGAGCGTGTGAAAGGAGGGATTTTTGCAACTCTATCTGCAAATCATCTAATTCGAGGCTGTTACTATCGCGTGGCATTTCTGTCAGATTTCTTTTCCAGCAAATTCAGTATCAAGAGGTGATAACACTATTTCAGCAGGATGAAAATGAGAACCCTCTGTACAAAGCCGGGTATATGTCTCCTCAAGTCCTTACAGCCAAGATTATCAAGACACTCAAGCCATGCTGTAGCAGTTGTATCATCCGGCCAATAGAGATATCACGATAGTGGTTCCTTCGAGGCTGAGCCAAGAGAGGGTGGTCAGCATTTACATAGCCTCCGCTTGGAGCATTATGTGGATAACTATCTGGTTCGTCGCAGATACCGTTGTGGCGTCGTGTTTCCACAAATGTAAAGGTGGGGGCGGACATATGGCGATTGCGGTAGCTGCCTTCCTAAGACTTTGTACGATTAGTAAATCCAGTCGCTATCCATATCACCTATTTCATCTATCCACTCATTTTGTATTCGTTTATATCGTGCAATTTCTATGACGTATCTTTCTAGCTTGCAAATACCTGTTGAAGGTATACGGTATTTTCGTGCGATAATGCGTTTTACTGGAAATTGGACAGTGCTATGGCGCATTGCCTAAAGCAAGAAAGTAGGAAAATAAGAAAGGTATTCAAAACAGTAGTACCACGATGATGGATCTGGTGGAGCTGCAGAGAAATTGGGCTACGTACAGGATATGGTCCAGGGCGCTATACCTCATCAACAGTTCACGTGTTAAGGTCATCATAAATGCCTACCCTCTAAATATGGGATATTTGCACATGCAAGGAGGCATTCGAGTTTGGCTGATCAAGATCTCGATCGAATTTGATATCTGCCTGAGATAGTATCTGGACGCTTCGTCGCCCCGCTCTGCGATGATATGTGCGCGCTTTGTTTGCCAGGATATAGATGCTCGGAGTATCATACAAGACCGATTGGTTGCTCGCATAAAAATAACCGCATGTTGAACCGTTGCAGCGAAAAACTTCATATCTGTTTTCTCCATCGAGATCAACCGGGAGGGAAAAATTGGGTTTTTTCTTTTCTCGCAGTCCCTTTCAACTCCTGATGGTGTTGAAGCTTGTGCACTTATCTCAGACACTACCATGACGACCAAGACGTCTGTCGTCTGGTTTTAGATCGCATGCCACGAGCATCCTGTAAAGTGAACCAATCAGCGGGCTCAGAGCCGCGGACATGTGCAGCCGACCAAAGTCCGATGGACGTGAACTCGCGCCTCATCCGGCCTTGGCGTCTCTGTCCACCTCTGATGTTTGGATGCTTTTGTTTCTGTAAGGCGAGTAGTGGCACGCCTCGACCCCACTGTTGCACAATATAAGAAGCTGCATGCGCAGCCGTAAAAAGACCACATTTGTGCGCTCTCCTGGCACTCGCCCTGCCAAAGCCTGTCCTACACTCTCGCATAATGGCAAAATGTATACATGTTGTGTCCAAGCTGGATAATGCCAGGCATTCCATCTTCCACATCGACCAGGACTCCCCAAGCCTAGCGGCATCTTCAGTCCGTGTCCAGACATGGCTTGTTTCCCTCACCTATAACAACTTGACCTATGCCCGATCGGGAACCCCTCTGCACTGGTGGGATACCTATCCCGTTCCCGAGGCAAGCCCAGCACCTTTCAACAGTCGGGAAGAATGGGGCGTCGTGCCAGCTTGGGGCTATGGCCGCGTTCTCGAAAGCACAATCGATGCTATCGCACCAGGATCGCTGCTGTGGGGCATGTTGCCTACTTCAGAGCACACCGTGGACCTTCAACTCGAAGCAATCGAACCATCGGGCCATTGGTCAGAGCGCAGCGCACAGCGAAGTAAGCTCATGACGATTTACAACAGCTACGAACAAGTTAGCCAAAGCGATGCGCAAACCATGCGCATAACCGCGCTCTGCAAACCCCTCTGGCAGGGTCCACATCTGCTCAACACCAGCGCATTTTCCGCACGACGCATTCACCCTTTTGGTTTCGGTGCGCCATGGTCCCAAGAGGACGCCGACTTGTCGTCATCGGTGGTCGTCAGTATTTCCGCCTCAAGCAAGACCGGCCGAAGCTTTGGCTGGGAAATGGCAAGGAATCGAGATGCGTCCAAACACGGTCCTCTTGCCTTGATACAGATGACATCAGTCCCCAACACATTATCTGAATACGACTCGTGCTTGCCAATGAGGGCAGCTGCATACGACGACACAAGCACCATGGCATGGGCCGAACAATTCAAACCCTCACGGGTCGTCATTGTTGACTTCGGCGCATCCGACGCAGTCCTAGAGTCAGTCAGAGCCGCGGCATCAAAGCTTGCTTCAAACGTCACTGTCGTTGCGATTGGCTACGAGGCCAAAGTATATACCCCAGAGGAGATCGCAGCCAGGATGGCAACTGCCAACACAAAGGTCCTGGTCAACACCAGTGGGATGCGAGATCGCGTCATCGAGTCGCAAGGCGCCTTGGAATTCTCACAGGAGCTAGACAGCACCTGGAATAGGTGCTTGAAGGAAGAAGCGTTTGCTAGTCTACAGGTAAAGGTTTTGAATGGTGTTCAGGGAGAACAAGGTATTGAGGGAGCATGGACGGCCTTGTGTGATCGCAAGGTTGCAGCAGACGTCGGTATGGTAGTTGACTTTTCTACCAGATAGACTTGGCTGGCAATGGGACCTTCCACACCTTCGTTTTTTTCCTTCCTTTTTGCATTTGAAAGGGCATTACCACAATAAGTACAAAGGCTCATAGCCAACTATAACTCCCTACGGTAAACAGGGTTGAGGTTACCGAGTTTCGGATAGGCTACACATTGTGACTTTGATACTTCGACTTCACAAGACCGTGTGTGTTTATGAAGGGTAGTTATTACTGGCTCCTGTTCTTTTCTATTGCAATCTCTCTGTTTGCTTTGTTGCTGTTTTGACTCAAGAAGAGCGAAGATATACTCAAGTTAGGATAGCGCGCATCTTAGTAGTGTATTACTTACTACTAGCGCTAAGCAAGGTGAACTCTGCGCTTGGTGATACGGACGTTTTGAAGCAACAAAATAATGCAGCTGATAGCTCCGGCTTCTGTTAGCACGGATGGAAAACCCAGACTGGTGGATGGAAATTAGGGATAGGCTGCATAGAGCATGCGCTACGTGGAATTGTTTGTACAAAGTGGGTCGGTTATTGTTTCTTTTCTTCCAGCTATTCTTGGCCAGGTTCAGGTTGTGCAATTTATGATTGCATGTTTTGGCAGTTGGAATAGTAGGCAAGGCGGTAGGTATAGCAGGTGCCACCTTTTGTCCACACTAGTCAGTAGCCAGTGGATACAACAGTACGAGTAATGTGTAGCCAAGACTGCACCTCTTCTTGGCGCTGTCCCGGTGTTATTAACCTGTACTGTCTAATCAAATAGTTTAGTTGCTACATCGCACTAGAAGCTCAAAGCTCCGTGATGCATTGATGCATCAACGTCTAGAGTCGTGACAAGCATAGCTGTCAGTTCACTAGACGAAGAAACTAGACAAGAACCTCATCGTATTAGAAAAAACGGCACGAAAAATTGAACTTGGCATTTGAAGCAACTAATTTCCGACACCGGTGATGGACATCAAGTGTATCGTGTTAGCAACAACCACCACATGAGTCGGAGGGATATGTAATCGCAACCCTTTAGCCCCTTATCCTCCATCACCACAATAGTCTAAACTACTTACTCTTCGAACTACCCTTACCCTACCATCTCTTTGAAAGAAACCTTGGATATACAACCAAACAAACGCAAAAATGCAACCCAGCACCCTCTCCCCCCCCTCCCCCCCTATCTCCCTTCTCACTCTCGCGTCTCCCATCCAAGTCCAAGCCCGCACGAAGAGCTGGGTAAACGAAGCTTGGCCAACCCTAGAAGCTTGCAGGAACACCGGGGCCTACAGGATCCGGCAAAATGGACCGAACCCCGCCTACTACTTCCAGAGTAGTCGGAATGTATATCAAGTTTGCGTCAACACTCAGGGTGGAGGTCGGTAGGATGTGTAAGTTTGGGTCTTCTTTTGGTGGCTTCGAGGGGATGCTGACACGGGAGATTTAGGACATGTGAAGAATAGAGAAGGGTGAAGGGGATAGAAAATACGAATAAACTCATGGGATAAGGTAAGCAGGAATTTTATCATCACGTTACTATAATACTGATCATTTGATTGAAGAATTTGGATTAAGTCTGTTTTGGTCGGTGATAAAACAGAAATTCATCCAATGCATGGCGCAGACATGCATAAATTGAAGTTCTTCATTGATTCTGGAAGTGATAGAACGATTTTTTCGTTTACGTGTTTGACCTTACAAGACTTCTTAGTAATTACCTTTGTATTGCTGCGTCAGCATGATATATGCTTTGCTTTCGTCTTATTGGAATAACTACATGATATCGATGATAGTATGTGTAACTGGATTCGGTTCCACACTGTACTTGAGTGTTGTAATAGTTAGTGTTGAACAAACCGTGTCAATTGGATGAACAGGGATTTTCCTTGTGTCTTAATTGTGAGTCTACCGCACTCAACCACGTATGCAATGGTTCTTTGGCCGGATACAGGAATACTGGCTCTTAAAATGGCACATGGTTTGAGAAAGAACCATCAATATTTACTTCACGATACTTCGTTCTTTAAATGCACAATGCAGGAGCATAGGACATCAAATCTCTGGCTAGAGGCGTGGGTAGCTTGTTAATCGCGCACCTGCTTGCCGGGTGCATGGGTGTTGGACAGTGTACAAGGGTATTGCCTCTAAGAAGCGATCGTCAATGTACCAGTTATGCAGGGTCTTATGTCACTCTTACGCAAGTACCTGTGCTTCCTGATTCGCAATTCCAAAAAACTTCATCTCATCTTGTTCATGTCGTTCGTCCAGAAAACGGAGGTTGAGCGATGGAGAGTACTGAATCTTCCCTAGCGCTAGCGTAATCATGGCTATGTTGTCGCGACACCTGGCGTTCGGGGGATGCGCGCCGAGAACCGCCAATTACCAGGCAGTTTCACAGCCCCGACATCAACGCCTCGGATCTGACACGGCCTGCCCACTGCGCAGATCTCCTTGCGATGTCTCCGCCTTACCTTTCTTGCTAACTCACCAAGGCAGATATCTTATAGCAATGCTGGCATTGCCTTTTGTAACTATCTACGCGTAGACTGTCCTCAGCGCATGCTTCCGTCTTACATCTCCTGCCGGCCGCTCCCCTTCGCTAGACGCGGATAAGCCCTCGAAATGGCTATAAAACCAGACTCACCAAGGGAGTCAAACGAGGAAGAAGAGGCCTTCTTACCGCTCACTGACGCCCCAGAAGCGCTACGATCCACTACAGGAGAGAAGCCATGGCTTCTCCTTATAGGCCTCATCTTCGCCCTTGTCGCCTTCATCGACATAGGTGCATACCTTGCCGATCCGCCCATGACGCGCATCTTCGAAGCGAATCTGTGCTATAAATACTATCTCGAGCAAGATCCCTCGGTAATAGGAGGGGACGGAACGATATCAGAGGAGTTATGCAAGGTGGACATAGTGCAACAGCGACTGGCTAGCATATTTGGATGGCAGGAGATGTTCAACGCGCTGCCAGGTCTTTTGTTGGCAGTTCCCTTTGGAACATTGGCTGATCGGGTAGGCAGAAAATGGATCTTTGCTGCGGGTCTGGTCGGCATCATGTTAAGTTATGCATGGATTCTGCTGATATGTAAGTGTACGCGTTAGTAAAGGAAGTCGAGACTTGTGTTGACGTGTGTACAGGCTATCTCAAGACTCTACCACTGCAACTCACGTGGTTCTCAAGCGCCTTCATGGTCATTGGTGGTGGTGCCTTTGTTGCCATGGCCATCGCGCTGACCATGATTTCCGATATCGCACCACCAGAAAAGCGTACAACCATTTTCTTATACTTGACCGCATGTATTCTGGTTGCAGAAATGGTAGCGCCCATGATGGCCTCGCGACTGATGGAATACGGAGACTGGCTGCCGCTTCTGCTCGCTCTGGCGTTTCAGATTGTTGGCCTCATCGTGTCACTCTTTATTCCGGAGACCCTGCATTTGCGCAACCTTGAGGAACCGAAAAACATCGAGACGCAGTCCATTGAGTTGCAGCCAATGTCGAGTCATTTCTCAGTTCGCTCGCAATTGCGTAACTTCCGGGCTACAGTCCAATTTTTAGGCGGCAACTGGACTCTCGCCACGGTTGTCTTCACCTTTCTCGCCAACAGGCTGGGCAGACAGTCCATTTCGCTCTTGGTGCGCTATGCTTCCAAGCGCTACAGCTGGGAGATCAAGAAAGCAGCATATCTGCTATCATTCCGAGCAGCTGCTAACCTCGTCGCCATTAGTGTTGTCCTTCCACTCATCAACTTTGTGCTGTTGAAGAAGCTACATTTCCCAGCACCCCGTGCTGACATCTGGATCGCGTGTGGATCCATTACTCTCACCACGTTTTCCTTCTTCGTCATGGGTGTCTCTGCGTATCCTGCTCTATTGGTCTTCGGTCTTCTTGTATACAACATGGGTTCGGGCTACAATGCCGCTATGCGTTCCATCTCTATTCATGTTGTCGGTGGGCAGTCAAGCCCCGACATAGGTAAGCTTATGAGTACAATTGCTATGGCCGAGAGCTTTGGCTCTATGATTGGTGGGCCCTTACTCAATGAACTGTTTCAGTTGGGCATAGGGTTCGGCGACGCATGGCTGGGACTGCCCTTTTTAGGTTCTGCGGTCATCTTCCTCTTCATGACATTTGTGACTTTCTCCATAAATGTAATGGGCAAGACGTCCTCTTATGTGGAGCTAAATGGCGAGGATGAGGATAGTTTCCATGATGAGGGGAGGAGCTCCTTGTTGGTACACCAGGGCGCAACTGAGCGCAGAGAGTCCACGTGACGGATGCGTTCGAATTTACAATTGATTTCAGGTTTCGCTATGTCTTGTATTCTTTGTGGTGGTATTGACAAAATCTTTCTGGAAGCGACCAGCTTTGAATGCGTAGGTGCGATCATGTCTCTGAACAGAAGATTCTTACTGTTTGCGCTCCATGTTTCCCACTTTCTTAAACCACACAAAATAGCAAGTACAGGGTAGCTACCACCAGACATGGTTCAACGCACATCCATCTCACCGTGTTATCGACCTCAGCATCCCAAACCACGTACACCAATGGTGCTTCATCGTCGCTCTTTACACTACATGTTGACAACACGTCCTTAGCACTGCTTCAATAGGTCGGATCACTCTCTTACCTCCTTCACTCAGCGATCGATAGATTTACTTCGCCATCAAAATGCTTTCCTGTGCCAGCAGCGATGTTGAAGCTCGCCTTCGCCGCTCCAAGTCCGCCTCGACCGTCCACAAACGCCCCACCTCCACGGCTGAGCCTATAGATATGGCGACCGTCAGGCAGCAAGCAGTAGCTGCTGCTACAACGGCATATGTACGGGCACATGCTCAAGATGCCACCATACATATCACCAGACCGAGCTCCGAAATGGTAAGATCCAAGAGCAATGCCAGCCGCAAATCCTTCACGTCCCAAGGCAACCATTTCCCCCCTCGGGGTTCTAGCTTTCGGTCGATGCAAGCACCAAAATTCGAAAAGAGTAGGGGCAGGGGATTCCAGCCACAAGTTCAGATATCAACTACTGAGCAGACCAAAGGACAACCTTCAAGTTTGTATCCGACGTCAACTATCGGTGGATCAACGTCGGTACCACGCCAGTTGCCAGCGCAACCTTCAAGGACCTCCAGTGAAAAAGCCAGGCCGAGCTCTCAACAAAAGATATCTCGGACAAGCACTGCGTCTTCTGTGACCTCACAACAGATCCGAAAGGCACGCTCCATGTACTACGCAAGCATTGTCCAGACAGGATCACCGATAGGAAGACCACCAGCGGAATACTTGAATACACCAGCATCGGCCAACGAAACTGCAGTTTCAGAGTCTCCATCCTTGCATCCACATGCTCAAACGCTTCGAAGTTCGCCTTTGGCAGAGCCGCGCATACCAGTCACTGTCGCGCCTGGCGTGACGCTTGATGAAGCGCGGGACGAATATCTACATAAATTTCAGCAAAAGTCAGTCAAACACAGGCCCTCTTTGTTCCTGGCACCATTCAAGAAGAAGCAAGAGAAAAGCAACGATAGTGCAAAAAACACATCAGATACGTATTCTCTCTCTCAGTCGAAGGAGCAGACGGCCAACGAACCAACGGATCACAACGCCCTTAGTGATTTTCTGCCACCGCAAGAGGCAAAAGAGAAGCGTTCCTTTTCCGGTTCATTAAAGAATAGAATCAGGAAAGTTTTCCGACGGACTTCAGATAAGCGGAATGACCTTCCTGTGCAACAGATCCAAGCCAGCCGTGACTACTTTGATGTCTCCCACTTCAGCCCTCCAAGCGCAGAGAATACAACTTCAATACCATACCCAGATGAAGCAACACTACAGCGTGTGCGTGGTCGCACTTCGTCACTCGATAGCGCTCGTCCTAACCACCTCCGATCTGGGAATCGAAGCGACAGTACTGGCAGTGGGCGCAGTACTCGAAGTCTGCATAGTGAAGTCAATGCTCCGCAGGTGCCATCATCCCGAGTGACGAGCTGGGGAACAAATTCAACTGGCGATACGCCAACGCAACGTACCATCAAACGCATGACTGTCATTCATGAGTCCAGGGACAGCGTTGGAAGTGAAGCAGAACGGGCCAATTCCTCGATAGCTTCAAAGAGGAAATCATTGCCTCTTCCACCACTCTTGTCCTTTCGCGAGCCCATGCCCATGGAAACTCTTCCTGAAGAGAAGCCGACTCATGTTGACCCCAAAAGAGTCTTTTCTGCTTTGATGAGAGAGATTGGATCGAACAAATCGTCTCATGAATCATCAATAACCGCTAGGCAGATATCAGTTGCGGAGAGTGATGTACTTGAGTCGAACATTGCAAAGCACCAATTTCAGACACAAAATCTGCATTCTTCTGGAAGCTGCAGTGCCCGTCCAAGCATTGATGTTGATGGGCGACCGCAGTCCCGACGATCTACGATGGCTCACAGTGTTCGGAGCAAAACTAGCACAATCAGGTCATTTGGAAGAGCGATAAGGTTGACTATCCGGGCCGTGACACCTGTTGGAAACCATTCTTTACCCGGGACTGAAGACGTAAATCTTTTATCAAACGCGGAAGACATCCACAAAAATGATGTTGCTCTTCAATCGACCACTATTCGTGAGAGTGAAGATAGCCAAGAAGGTGACAATATCGCGCAATGGCCGCATGGTATCAATACGTTCATTCCATCTGCTTCACAGATCGAGAGGCGTGTGGAGAAAACCAGAGACCGTTGGAGAACTCAACTCGGAGAGGCTGGGAACTTTCAGTTTCCACGTGAGACGGATAAGACGTATGATGTTACAACGGCTGTTGTTCAATCTCAAAAAAGTCCAAGTGCCAACACCGAGCACATTGAGAAAGCAGAGGATCATAACTACACCATCGTCGAACAAAGTCCTCGACAGCCACAAACAACACCGAAAGCCGTCGCATCACCACAGCCGAAGGTCATAATGACGCCAATGTCTCCTAGCATTTATTCTCGAAATACAGATGGTATCAGCATCACGTCTTTCGATGGCCCCAGCCAACTAGAGCGCTCACAAAACGCCGGCTCAGCTGTGATTCTCACGTCTCAGTCTGTGAGGAGTTATGTGGTAGGCACTCCATCACCAAAACGTCAGGTAGCGGCCCACACAAGTCGTGATTGGAGGGATTGGTTGTCACATGAAATTTCGGGCATGGAGTTGAGCAGTCAGGAAGATTTCTCCATCACTGGACAATATAACAGATTATCGAAGGAAGAATTTCCGGATTTTACTCATACGCAAAACAACGATATGGAGATCGCCACATCGGATACAAAAACGAATGACAACGTGTCTCATGAATTGAAGTACCCGGGCAAGTCGCTCCGAGACCGTGTAGGTGATGATACTGGTATGGACACTACAAATCCTCAACACTACAATTCCTTCCCCAAAAATTCGAATATCGATGATCCTCGGAACATTTTTGATATGGGAATCGCTGTGAACAGTCACGGGGGCTCAAACCCACTATCTCAATCAGCTTCCTTTGTGATCAAGCCGTACCCAGTGTCAACGTCTGAGGGTCATGCATCGTATTTCACAAATCTTGGAACGCCTAGGCAGTTTTCGAACGATAGCCACCTAACGGTTGTCAATACTGTTCGATGTTCCAGTAGTGATAGTTTGGCCTCTCGACGCTCAAAATCGCCAACTGACAGTATGACGGCACTCGATTCACCAAAGTCTCCGCCTAGGCCTGTGTCGCGATCTAGCTTTCCTTCTCCATTTTCAGACGATACCCTTGAACCAATTTTAATAACACCACTAAAGATCAGACGCACGCAATTGAGGGAAAAGGAGAACTTGACACCGCAGTCTTTCCGCAGCCAAAAAGAGTCCATCGCTCCGCCTCAACCAAAAATGCAGCAACCACTAATTCCAACGACACCGAATCACAGCCCTTCAAGAATTGGCGAACAGGACACAAAGCCACACGGATCCAGCCTTGACAGTTCGCAACTGGTTCCAACTTCAACACCACTACGCCCCCGCATCCGCATCATCGCGCGACCCATCTCCCCCGAGAAACTCGCTCGGCGACCAAAAAGCGCATTCGACTTGCGATCAACAAATATCACTGCAAGAACACCCACCGTACACATCACACCGCCCCCGGCCTCCCTCCCCAAACCCTCTCCCCTCTTCACCGCCGACTCTGCGAGGAGCGACACCGCAGGCCATCGCATGGCCGAAGAATTCCTCCGACAACGCAACAGCACAACCGCACTCGGCGGGAGTGGTGGCAAGCGCAGAGGAGGCATGGTCCTGGTACGCGAAGATACCCCGGCGTTTTTATGAAGAATACGTATTCAACACTTTTTTTGGTTATTGAGCATTAGATGACATGGGAATTTTGAACAATCGGGATAAAGGAGCATGATTGTAGATTTGTATTGGATACGGAGGAGTACACTTGAAGGTGGGATAGGGCTGCTGCCCACCCTCTGAGGCTTTGTTATATGGCTAAGGAGCATATAGCGTGTAGTGTAGTTCTGTAGGATTAATTTCATGAGTGTATGATTTATCGTGGCGGTTTTCGAGGTGATGAGTGGGGTTGTTAACATTATTGATTTGAAGTTAGGCTTCTCGGCTTGATTGAGAGTAAAATAAATCTGTACTATTAGCAGAACATGTTGGACAATAGCGCAAGCATCGAGATATCTTTTTTCATTTTTCAATAGTCTTAAGTGATCTATACTTTAATGCATCGTTGGTATACCATTTTGCAAATTTTTTTCAGTACATCTCAGCAATCAAGTGCTGTTTGCCGCTTTTTTGACACTGTCATCACAATTCATAGTCATACTCTTTGTTCATGACAAATACTGCACTTGAAATTTCATCTCGGTAGAGAAAACTGGAGTCATCGACGATGAAGATGTGTGGGTGTACCTAGCAAGCGCTTATTGATTAATCACAATGACTTGTTCTGCAGCTATTGAGAAGCTACATGATTCATCTCACAGGTAGTATTGCAGAATTGTGCCAACAATTGACGCGATGAAGATCACAGTACGTGTCGAGTTCTCGCTTGATTGGGACTTGCACAGAGAAAAATCCGGATCCACAATCTGGATCCACATCGAATGATCATTTCTCGTATCCGGAATTAAACTGGCAATATTTAGCAACACACGATTTTTCGATAGCCGAAGCGATGATCAGATTGAGTGGTACGATCGAAACAACAGCAAAGGCAGGTTACGCATCCAAAGCTGGTCCGTTTTGCGAAATACGAATAAGTACAACCCGAATTCATCGTTCAGCAGACGCCTCGATACACCAAACGTTCCGACACAGCGTCAGTAACCAGGAAATTTCTATAGCCAAAGGTATTACCCGAAGCAGTGTATCGTCATGTGCAACAACACTAGTCCGGTTGTGACCACATATCCAATCGGTAGGCCTCACCTCCACGGCCCTGCACATCACACACTTAATTCGCATGCAATGCCATGTATCACGAAAATACACCAGCGCCGTGCAGCCCTTTCGCATGACACAACAGGAGTCAACCGACACATCATGCAGCAAGACCTGCAACCAAAAAGCCTAGAACACGCAGCACATTTCCTTGCTTCTGCTCTCGGGCATCTCGTGCCGAATTAGCACCTACACCGTGCACGCCAAACGACGACATTCTTTTTGTTCCCTTACTCTACAATGGCTCTGCACGGATCTTGCTTTTCTCGCTCGTGCGACATGGGATAAACGAAAGAAAGCGCGCAGCCCTGTGCAGCGAGTCTCCGTGCGCCCACCATCTCACCACCACCCTTCAACCTCACCGGTGCGTATCGCGTCAAACCCTCCACATCACCCTTGTTTTTTCAAAGAAAAAAAATAGTTTCACTCAACCGAACCGTGCAGAATTGAACCTAACAGCCCAACCCTTTTGCGCCTTAGTCGCACAAAAGTCAAAAGTCAAAAAAAAGCAAAGCACAAAAAGTCAGTGCCGAGGGCGAGTAATCATCCATCCCTCATCACATCCGGCAAACAAAGCTACTAGTCAAGTGAAGTCTCCACCCATGTTATCCCAACCACAGCGCATACTAGGTTTGCACCCCATCCACCTTTTGCTCCACGGACCTCCGGTGTCCAGATAAAACAAAAAAAGAACCCCCCCTAAAAAAGTCGGTGGATTGATAAACACAGAAAAAAGTCACCCCCGTCTACTAGCGCATTAAGTCGCGGGAGAGCCCACACACCCTCAACACGTGCAAACACACCCATGCCACCCATGTTCGCCTGCGACGTACAAGCCCTGCGCCGTAGCCCTGCACGCCCAACAACCCTTACTATAGACTAGGATACCCCTAGGTGTTCCAGGGTGTCAGGACCTGGCTGCCGGGTAGGTTGGAAAAGAGCAAAAAGAAAAAAAATAGGGTGGAGCGAAAAGGATTGCCGGGTCGGGTGCGGCGCGGGCGTTCTGGGGGTGGCTGCGGAGTTGGAGCTACGAGGGGGGGTTGGGCTAGGTGGGAGGGATAGTCTAGGTTGGTCACGTGATGATTTGTGTGTACGGAGTGTACTGTAGTTTTGTAAGCTTGTGTATGGAAATTCTCAGTGGGCTTGATCAATGGCTGGTGTATTTGTTGAGGAAGGTCTTAGATAGGTTTTTCCCACTACTTTGGTGAAATTGTGTGGTATAGACATGGTGGGTGGATGCGAAGTGACAGTTTGAGTAGTTAGGGGGGCATGGAGAGTACTGCATCCGCCAGTTTATATGTTTTTACAGTGTAAGAATAAGGAAAATGTGTTAAAATGTTGAGATGAGCGCTGAGTATGCACATCAAGTGGGTACAATCTACTTTTTGTCACCAGAAGCGACATTCCATTTATGTGTGTGGACTCGAAATTCTTGTTCAGGTGCACTGTACTCGGGGGTGAATGTATGCGCAATCACCTAACCTTTGTATAAGCGACTGCAAGTCTTCATTCATGTATCTCGTATGATGTATAAATATTACCAGTCGTTGGCTTAAGAATCGATCAATCGAGAGACATCCATCCATTTTGATAACCCGCCGACCAGCCCTTTGCAACTTGAGATAGACAAATGAAAGTATTTCCCTCGTAGCTATCATTACCTAAATGTAAACCCCAGTTTGAAAGAATAGGAAATCAAAGGAGTGTTCAATACATTATGTGTATTCGCCAACGAAAATGAAAGAAGAAAACCGGAGACAGTGCATATCCATCTTCGAAATGCCCATAAGCTACACCTGTTTTTGAATTCCCGGCTATTTTTGAAAAGGGAGACAAAGGGAAAATGGAAAAAGATGAAAAAAAAACAGAACTACTCTCTACGATACTACACCAAGACCATCATCCGCCTCCTCTCTCATACCCACCTCTTCATACAAGCTCTTGAACGAGCTGCCCTGGCGCTCTAGTAGCTGGTGTGGCCGACCATACTCAACAAGCTGACCCTTGTTCATGACTACAACCTTGTCAAAGTCAAGTATGGTGTCAAGTTTATGTGCCACGGAGATGAGAGTGTGATGAGGGAAAGTGGAGCGAAGGAGCCGTTGAACATGAGCATCAGTCGTTGCATCAAGGCTGAAGAGTCGCGGTTAGTATCTGCTAACTGAGGAGGATGAAGACGTGAAAAACTTACTTGCTAGTGGCTTCATCCATAATGACGACGCTTGCTTTGTCTTTACGCAACATGGCGCGCGCCAAGCAGAACAGCTGGCGCTGGCCATGGGAGAAGTGGAGGTCGTCAACTTCGACGTCGAGTGGATGGGCATACTTTTCCGCATCTCCCTTGGCCACAATGATATCCCAAAGCTGGACGTCCTTCATCGCGGCCATGATGGCTTTGTCGTTGAACTCGCCCAAAGGATCAGCATTGAGGCGGATGGAGCCGGGGAGTAGGTAAGCGTCTTGTGGGAGGCCGATGAGGCGACTACGGATAATCTGGCGGGGTATCTCCGTAATTGGAAGTGAGTCAATCGTAATGCTGCCGGAAGAAAGCTCAATCATGCGGAAGAGAGAAAGAATCAATGACGATTTGCCGCTGCCGGTTCGGCCAACAATAGCGACCTTCTCACCAGGCTTGATTGTAAGGGAGAGGTTTGAGATTACAGGCTCGCCAGGGCTGTGATGGTTAGCTTAGGTATAGGAAGGACGATCTTGGGACTTACCGATGGCATGCTTCAATGTTCTTGAACTCGACGTGTCCAGAACTAGGCCAATGAGGTGGTGGAACACGGTCTTCACCTTCTTTGTTTTCCGTAATGGGATCAGTCGTGAAGCTCTTGACCCTGGCTACACTACCAATGTGTGTTTCAAGTTGTGTCCAAAACGAGATCAACAACTTGATGTTTTGAGAAAAAAGCACGACATTGAGTAGGGCAACGCCTACATATCCAGCGCTGAGCTTTCCTCGTAGTGTTACCACAAGAATAATGAGAATCGTGGCTATTGCTGCGACCAACAAATCCAGCACAAGAGTTAACCAGCGTTGGATTGCGAAAAGCAGATAGAAGGGCCGCTGGCTACGATCAAGCAACGTCTTGGCCTTCTTCTCAACGTACTCTTGCCAACCAAATGCACGAATGGTCGGAAGCCCCTCCAGTATTTCGCTAAATTGGGTGTACAGGGGAGATTTGGCTTCCAAGTCGAGGAAACGAAGCTGGCGTGACGTGCGGAGATAGAACTTCTGAATGAAATAGACACTGATGGCTACGATTGGGAAAGCGATGGCTGCGTAAGGAGCTGATACAGCGATCAGGGCCATCTGACCAACGCAAAGCACGAATGTAGCAAACGTATTCAATGCAGCCAACGGCAACTCCATATCGATCAACATGAGATCTTGGCTGAAGCGGTTAAGAGTGACTCCAGAGTCGGTTGTCGAGAAGAAGGACATGGGTGAGCTTTGCTTTGTTAGTCTTTGTGATTGAATAGACAGTGATTTCTCCACTTACCCAAGCACTGCATCTAAGAGTCTCCTGTGAAATGCAACACCCGAGCGAGGAACCATAGTGATGATGAGCTGCCAACAGCTCACTATCAGGAAGATCATTGCCAAGCCACCGAACGTCGAATAGATGCCCAACCAATAACCGAGGCGCTCGTTTGGATGATTCTGATTATAATCTGCCCACATCTTCACCCAGACGGTAGGGAAAATGGTGCCGAAAATGAAAACCATGATTGAAAACATGAAGATCAAGGTGGGAATCCATCCCACTGAACCAATGTAGTAAAGGTAGATGGCAGTGTCACCCATACGGCGGTTGGCTTCGGATTGACTCTCATCGCCTGTGAGCTTGCTGTTGTCTATTTGACGCTCG